AAAATAATATATATATATATATATATATATATATATATATATATATAAAGAAAAAGGAAGCCCCGGATGTAAATACTTCAACTTATAGTTTAACTAATTTCTATATCGTCTTACCTATTTTCTATTAGTTATCAAATTGACGATATAAATTCTTGTAAAAAAACAGTTTATAGAAAAATGAACAATTCTCATACTACTCGCCTGTGACCATGACACCTTATGCTGTTATATTAAATGAATTCAAACAGTTGCAAGAACCTTAAAGAGTTCACGATTCCTCTGTTCACAGATATTATTGCCTGCAACAAAGAAACGCAGAGTTTCTAGTGGAAATCGCGTTAAATATTTCATTAGAGGGTACCGCCAACTTGTATTACTCTGCAAAATTACAAGTTATTGATATATTAACAGTGAAAAATCATATATAAAAAACGAAGTTTCAATCATTACAGCTTCTTGTTTCAGCCATTGAATCCTCAATATCACTGGGTTATTTACTTCGACTTATCAAATTTTTTTAAGTTATTTTCTCTGGTTATCTCTTCGGTACATTGCGTTCAAGGTTATAGAAGCAACGAGAAGTTTCTGTGATTGAAAATGTCCATTTTAATGCCCATATTATGGAAATGCTGAAGTATGAAATAGACTTTAAAGCAAAGTGTCATCGGAGGATATTCCGCATTCTTCAAGATAGTTCAATAGATTGGTTTGAGTTCCTAATTCGTTATTTCGATCCCGTAAATCAGATATGAAATCGGTACACGCATGGCACCAAAATGCTTTTAATTTTGAGAAACAATAAGCACAGAGGATTTCTATAATGCTTTGACTATGGTATTTGGAAAATATTACCTCAAAAGAAACAGCAGCTTCCCATCTGCGAACATGTGGTATAATCAAATGCAAAAAACTAGCATCAGCAAGAGGAAATTCGGCCAAAATTTCCAGTAATAATTTTCCTACTTTAACATCGTCAGTCACAATATCACTTTGATTGGGATCCGGAAATTTCCGAAAAGCATCCTAAATTGATATCATTTTGCAACGAGCATTTAGTAGTTATCATTATCATTCGTGCTGTTATGGAAGAATGTCGGAAATCTGTAAAAGATACCAGCAAATCGCTACAAAATGTTTCTGAGAAGATATCTGGAAATAATCGTAGGAGGTAAAGCAAACGCAGAACGACGTGTTTCTCTAAGCGATTGTCTGATTGAGATAAGACGGTGATCATCAACCCGAGATCCATTTTAAGTAAATGTGATCGTAATCGATCTAAACTCAACGCCTAAAACAAGGTTTATAATATTTACCAATAAAGCAAATGTGATATACTGTTCTATCCACCATGAGAAAAAATGTTATCTTACAGAGCAGAAGAAATGATAAGTTGACAAGTGATAAATCGAAATAAGAAACAACTTCTTTCAGTGCACTGAATGCAGCATCTTGAATCGCCTCATTTTCTTCCATAAGGCATTTTAAAACTGCCTCGAATATTTGCCTGTGATGTGGAAACAGTGGATCATGATCCACTGTCTGTTTTAATTCCCCACAAGATGCAATACAACATGTTACCAGTGCTTCTAAATTTTAAAAAAATTCATCTCCAATTCGTTTACTTTAACTGAAATGAGTATGTGCAGCACAATTTTGGGAAGTCAACAATACTCAAGGTATAGAATAAACTCATAGCTCCATCATGATGTGAAAAGTAAAAAAAAAAAAGAAAGAAAAACCAACTTATAGTTGACTGTCGTAAAGCGATGACGCGTGAACTGAACTGCGACCGCTGCATGACGGCCAGGAATCTTGTTGATGGTTTATAATTTGGCTTGTTCCTTATTTCTTTTCTAGTAGCACTGCAGATAGATAAAAGCCGGGAAACGTAATCATTTTCCGGGAATCTGTCCAATATAAATTCCTGTGGTACTGGCCGAACGGAAAAGATGAAAACAAAAGCATCCTGAAATGAATTATACATACAAAGACATCCTGAAATGAATTATACATCTCAAAATCTGAAGACAATTCACCAAATAATCTCCATATTCAAAAATTTGTGATTTAGAAGAGAGTTTGGATTCACCGTTGTTCAATAAACACGAGGACTGTTATACGAGGACGAATAAGAGACTATATACGAGGACTGTTACCATAAGAGGTGCTGTCCTGAGGTAATGTTTAACTAAAAGACCAATAACCTTAATTACTGAGTTTCAAGTGCATAATTATGATCACATCCGATTTTTGAGGTATTTAAGTGAATTGAAGGAGCAAACAGTTAAGCATCATAAACCTCAAAGGCAATTTGCTGGTCGAGAGACATCCTTTTGTAATCTATCATACCATCTTCTAAAAACTTCCTCAGTGACTCATTTTGCAATGCAAGCAACTCGCATTGTGTAAGCCCAGTGTAGTCGGCCAACATCGTAAGCATTTTCTGACTCTATAAAAATTCAAGTCTGTGAAATGTCTCATCAGTAAAAACATGAATATTCAATAAAAATTTTATCATGAGTAAGCAAAAATTCAACCTGCTTGCTAAGAACTTGTGAAGGGCTCAAAAGATTCTCAATAATTCGCCCAACCACACATTCAATGGCTTCTTTTTTCCTTTCATGAACTAATGACTGTTCAAAACAGACCTGGAATTAAAATAAAAATAGGATGATTCGATGTAATAACAAACTGCAAAATTCTTAGATATTTAGGCTTTGATTTCTTTGATTGAACCGCAAAATTAAATACTTTCAACAACAAATCCAATGTAGACACTGCAACATCGACGGCTGAACTTGAAACATCCTCCATAAGTCCAACAATAACCTATAAAAATATGATTCAATACTTGACAAAATATTCCTTCAAATTAAGGGAAGGTAAACTTTAAATTCGTTGATAAATTAAATAATCTTTAACACTGAGGAAAAATCCAGTATAAAGGAGGCACTATCAATTTACCCAGTTTCAAAATCCTTACAAGCATGATAATACCTAACGAATCACCTCAAATAAAGCACAAAGGATGGTATCAATATTGTTAATAATGAAAGCTGGAGGAAAGTTTATCAAAAAAAATTTGATGCTAAGGCATCCACCAAGACGAATACACCATGGTTCGTTATAGCAAAGATTAGTTGCTCGTTCCAAAATTTGTTGAAAAAATGTAGTGCTGGCTGCCTAAAATTAATGTTTTACTAAGACGGGGATGAAGCGATGAATTACGCCACAGTTCAAAAGAGCTACAAAAAATTGTTGGGATCTCAAGAGCACTAATAGGAAAATCCATAACGTAGTTCAAAACAACAGGAGTAGTAAACATAATCTACGCGCCATAGAAGAGATTTACGGTTGATGACATGCAAGCATTGGCACCATATATAAAAAATTTAGTGACGTGTATCAGAATTACGACCTTATATTCCTAGTATATACTTATATTCCTTACTGCAATGAATATCTCGGTATACAATCAATATCTCAGTATACAATCCCTCAGTAGAATCTTTTTTCTATACAATCCTTATATATCCTGCACAATTCTTAACAATCCCTCGTATCCATGCAGTTTCAGTTATGCATATAGTCATAATTATAGCGCGACCAAAAAAATCAAAACTTCACATCTAATCTACTATTATTTTCGCTAATTAACGGTTATTTTAAAAACGCCTTTTTGAAACTTTTTGATAAGTAAATCACTTTGTTGATGCTACCAAACAGGGCTGTTGCTGTCTCGCATATCAGCTTCAGTGCCATAAGGCCAATCTGGCACACTTCTTTACATGGATCGGTTAAAGCAAGCAACACACTATCAATCAGGACAGTATAATCCATCGAGTTTAAATCGTGATCCATAATCTTGTTGCTTTTCTCTACAAAAAAAAGTTTTATTTTTTCTGGAAACCATTGCCAAGCCAAAAAACAGTAACACAATTAATAACTAAAATTAGTTATCTAAGTGCTTTTGCAGAAGTCACAACACTCTTTAAATAGCCAAATACAATCTTGTATACTAAAAAAAAGAATGTTATCAGGATTGAAAAAATTGCTACATTTCTAAAGATAAAATTCCCAAAAGCAGAAAATACACAGCAGATTCGATGATCAGAAATTCAAAAAAACCTACCTCGACACTGTTCAAAAATAATCTGAATTGTCAAGTGTCGCATAACCATGCAGAAGAAATCCATAACATTACTAGTTGCTTCTTGTAATACTGCAGCTGTCGCATCTTAAAAAAAAGAATGTTTATGAAAAAAATGAAAATAAAAAAGAAGAAAAAAAGAATGGAACAAAAACTCCATAGTTCTAGGAATTCATAAACTCTATGCTTTTTTAGATTTAAATTAATCCGGTTAAATAATTTTTCCTTCGGAAATAGAGAAATTTTTTTGAATTTACAAGTGTACTTCATCCATCGCCTATAAACTAAACCATTAAACTGCTTGTAAAAAGAAAAAAACACCCAAACTTACAAAACAATCCGAGTAAAGCATCAAGGTAAAGAGACCGTGAATATTGATTATTGCATTGATGATCTAATTGGAAACTACTCTCGTCCTTTGCACGCAATTCCTGAAATTCCTTTAAATTGTTATGTATTCCTCTACTATCCGTGCAAGTGCTTCTCTTTCAGTCGCACTTTTAATCTAAACAAAAGCTTTGCCAGCTTCAATGGGTTTTCACCCTTCACAATGTTGTTGATTGTGAACTATTTTTATATTCACTCATTAAATTGGTAACGAAAATTCCTTTTGCTTTTGTTTTTAATAATCTTCGTTCACTGTAGGAGGGAAAGAAACATAGATTAGAAACTATCTTAAAATTTAGAAACAATAACAAGCTACTATGTTTATAGTTATTTTCAATGCATGTTGCTGACCACGCTAACAAAAAGAAAGGCTGTTACCAAAAGTCTAATGGTAAGATGCTTCTTGAAGAAAGGATTCCTTAAAATTCCGCGTTTGGTAGGTGCCAATGCACTCAAAATCACTCCTTTGATTATTCGGAATGCATGACGTCGCATAGTTAGGGAAGAAATCCGTATTCCACCCGGAATCGTTTGTGCAGTTGCCATAATGAAGGATGCATCGGCTACAAATGGTGAACGCAAATGCTTGACCGATTCTTTCACCACTTCAGAAATATTCAGTTCACAGAAAAATGGAGGACCGCTGTTATTACTCTGAAAAATGAGAGCTTATTTTTGGAAAAATTGAAGACAGCTGCTAATATTCTGAAAAATGAGGCATCATTTTTACTGGGAAGAATTTACTGGAAGATCGAAGAAGTAACCAAAGGATCAATTCGTATCGCCGCCAAGTAAAATTGTTTCTCATTTGACATCTGTTTCCTGTTACCTGTAAACATGAAGGAAAATGAGGACCTGACTTCCATCCGACAGTGTTTCATTGAATTCAATACGTGTTGAAGCCCGCTCGAAAACCAATCGAAATGCTGGTAATTCGAATGAATGTTCATCTTTAAACACCAAATTTTGAGGATCCATCAACATTTTCCGATTCGATGCACCAAATTTTCCCAAAATCCTGAATATTGTACTTATTTCTCACTTGTTAAACACATTTTCTTGATTTTTAAAGTATGCAGGAATCAATAATCCTATAATTTCTTGCCACTCTCCAGTCCTTACTGATGAACTCTATTTTTACCAAAATGTTACTTACACGCTGAAATGACAGACATATGAAATAACAGAAATCACAGACTCGTAATCTTCTACTATACTTAAAGTGAGAGAACAAAAAGATTAAAATCAAAACAAAAAAGAGAAAACCTAAATGCAATTTGTGGTGCGTTTTTTTCCTGACTTGACATGCACTGCCATAAACCACGTATCAGTTCAGCTCGAACTGGTGCCATGTGTTCGTAGAGATAATCAGGTTGCAAATTATCAACACATAATTCCAAAGTTCGTAAACCCTGTAATGTTTTCACAGCTGATAAGGTCTAAACCTTCGTAAGCAACTTACTAAACCATGATATTGGTTGTTTCTATTCCTGCTTGACCTTATATCTGTCTGCTAAGTCAAATCTATCAGCAAAATCTTTTAAATATTAGTGGTAAGTCGACTGTACATATTTTTGAATTATGCAAGTATATCTTACGTTGGATTTAGAAAATTTTTGTAAACTTTATGAACCGACACTGTATATGTATATATATACATATACGTATATATACATATATATATATACATATATATATAT